ATGAAATTATATTTAGAATAAATTTTTTTTGTTATGTTTATTTGTTTTTTTTCTTTTTTTCTGTCTTGTTCTAGATAGTTTTTTTTTTCTTATAAGTGTAGTATATATTATTGTTTCTTGTAAAAGAATAAGAGGTCAAATATTCTACCCAAACTTAAATAGAAAAAGTCTTAAAAAATGGAATAGACAGTTCTAAATGGACCATCACTATTATCTGTTTAAAACCTAAACAGTGCAACAGGGTATACCTAAAACCGAATAGTAACTAGGTGGTACTAGCCTTTAGAGTTTCAAACCATCTGTAGTATAGTATAGAAATTTTTTTTTTTGTAATATGGATTATGTTCACTCAAAGCACCTAGCAGGCTTATCAAAGAATAAAAAAAAAAAAAAATAAGAATTTATTGATCTCAAATCTTAAAAATTTTATAAAGAAAATAAATAATTTTGTGAAAGCTAAGAATGATAGAAGGGAGATGAAAAAGCTTATTTCTTTGTTGACAATGATTAGATAAACTTATTTTTCTTTGTAAAAATCTAAGGTTTAGCATGATACTATTTTTTTTGTTGAATCAGAGTTTGTGCATCATTTTTTTTAAAAAAAATATGATCAGTTTATATAAGTCTATGATATTACCAATTTTAACTATATTGTAATCATTCAGATAATAATTATAATTACACACTTGGGATACAAAACAGTGTGATTGTAAAGAAGTGTAACAATTATAGAGGGCAAATTTATTATATTTAATAATACAGTCTGACCTCTTTATAATTACCTCCTATATAAGCATATTTTCTTTATAAGCTTATTTTTTAAAAAACAATATATTATTCAATATAATAAATTTAACCTCTATAACTGTCACACTTCTCTACAATCACACATTTTTGTATCCCAAGTGTGTAATTATAGAGAGGTTTGACTGTAGATTGTTTTTAAAAAAATGAGCCTATAAAGAAAATGTGTTTGTATAGGAGGTGACTATAGAGAGGTTTGACTGTATTACATGTTTTACATGTTTTTAGATTTGTCAATGAGAGAGGTTTGATGTACTCGTTGGTCTCTAGAGGATGTGTACAAAATGGTAAATTGTTATCATCGTAATAAACGGGGGTGTTGTAATACTTTCCTCGTATTTGTAAAACAATCATGAAATATGTGCTGGATCTAAAATTCTTATTAATTTGATTTTATATCCGATTACATTATTATTTTTAGAATCACACATCATGATTCGTGGAATTTTCTTTTTACGTTTTTTAATACGCCAAAAACATGCATATGCGTAAAATGATGTTTTGCACACCAGTACAACGTTAATGTCTTCTCGTAACGCTGGTGGTAATTCGATCTCATCGACGTAATAATGACAAGACCCTTTGGAATGTTTTCTTGGAGCGGTAAATTTTTGCAAAGTATGATGTATGATAATTTTATCGATGAGAAATTTAAAGATGATTTACATTTTGCAAATGTTTTTCAATATGAAAATTTTATTTCGTGAGCACTATGAAACCTAGCATGATAAACGACCATCCCAAAGTGAGATTCTTTGATCTTTCTGAGAAGCTGGATTTCGGTCTTGATTTTCTTGATTCGAAAAATGGTAAAGATTTTGGTGATAAATTTAAAGATCGAAAAATGCATAATCTTATTCATAAAAAAGATGATGTGTGGTATAGATCGAAATACAGGGTGATTGTAAAATTCAAGAGATCGCTTCTGTATCATTTCCTGAACGAGTATCGCCCAGAATTCATGCAATTTCTTACTTGAAGATTGGTGAGGACCACAGAGATATAAAGGATAACGTCAAGAAGTTTGATATGAATGTAAAAAAGATGGTAGATTGCAAGGTTCGAGGTTTATGTTTTTATGACGAAAAATATCAAACAGAAATGGAAGATATTCAACATGAATATCCAAATGAAATGTTTAAAGGTGAGTGCGTATCTGAGGGGCCCAACTCTCGCTAGTGTCGCAGGTTTTGAACGGAGTGCCGTGTATGCGGTAGCTGATAACCTCAGCTAGGACTAGTGCCTTATCCAAAAAACTCGCTTAGCTATTTGTTTCGCTATTGAGACGTTTGCTAACATCTTTTTAGACCCTTTCTAGATTTTTGTTTTAAAACTTTTTGAAGAAATGAAATTCGAATAATAATATGATAAACAAGATGATAATATAAAATGAAATCGAGTTTATTTAGAGTAATTTATTTTTAACTAAATGCTTATATTCATAATTCACTTTACTATACATATATATATAATTTTTATTTACTATTCCGTATTTAAGCGGTATTGTAATTATGTAGCTATTTTATTTATAATTCCGGTTATTAAATGAATGATGACAAGTTTATTTTCTTTTAAATTTTATTTCGAATCTCATTTATCTTAGAGTATAAATAAGCAGTTTTTTTATTTTATTTAATAGGGTAATACAACGATATTATATTATTTAAATTTTAAAAAAGATGGCTTGCGAATTTCTCATGAGGATAATTGTTTGGAATCGTTAGTGATGATGAGAATTTTTTTTGATTTAGAATTATTAATGAGCATTTTTTTGCTAACCAGGATACTATGGGCAAGGTCGTTGAGATTCAATACCGTAGGTGATATTCAGAAATATCATTGTTGTGATTTTGATTTCACAATCGTTCTTCAGTCCGCGCCGGTTCTGCCCGATCAAGGATTTTTTACCTATTCTCTTTATTTTCTTGATTGGAATGGAATCCAAGGCAACCCTCCAGAATGTCCGTGAATGTTGAAAATTCAACAAATTATGTCCAACCTCAGGGAAATAAATATACGTTTCATTATAATCAAGATTACGAGATCAGATCCTTTGATGACAAATTGTTGACCTTAAGACGCACCGAGGGTAAGATTATTAAGGTTTTTAAGCATAAATGAATGGTTGGGAAGAAGCCTTGAGATGTGCGAACAGAAATAATAATAATGATCATGATGATGGCTTTGTAATCACAACATGAGTTTTTTGCATTGCTATTGCAGCCATAGAGCCTAATTACCCTATGAGGTTCTTGTACTGCTATTATAGTTGTGAAGTTTAATCACCAAACATGAGGTTTTTGTATTATCTGCGATAGCTATAAAGACTAATCATAATATGAGATCAATGCATTGCTATCACATCCATAGAACCTAATCATAACATGAGAACTTTGTACTGCTAGCATAGTTATAATGCTTAATCACCAAATATAAGGTTTTTGCACTGCTTGCAGCTGCTATAGAGCCTAATCACAACACAGGTTTTTGCATTGCTATAGCAACCACAGAACCTAATCTTCTTATATTGTTTTTGTAGTTATGGAACTTAATCACCAAACATGAGGTTCTTTATTGCCTATAGCAGCTATAGAGCCTAATCACAACATGTTTTTGCACTGTTATTGCAGCCATGGGCCTAATTATATTGTGAGATTCTTGTGCTATTATAGTTGTAAATCTTATAAAAAAAAGTTAAAATTCTATTAAGATTTTGTTTAAATTATTATTTTAAAAAATAAACATTTTTTATAATAAAAATTTAAACAAAATCTGAAAATTATTTTTATAGAATCACAATCACCAAACATGAAGTTCTTTTGTACTGACTATGGAAAATATAGAGTCTAATCACAACATAAGGTTCTTGTAGTTATAAAGTTTAATTATAACATGAGGTTTTTGTACTATATAATACTGTATAATATTAGATATAGTACACTGATCTCTAACTTCCTCTAAGCAACTTAAGCATCTAGTTTGTATTTGAATAAATTAAAAAAAAAATTATTAATAGTTGTTAAAAACTGTTATATAGTTTTTTATAGTATAATTTATTATAATTAAAGTTATTTAAAAGTAGTAATATGAATCAAAAATTAATTAATCGATTAGTTAATTGAGTTGGCAACTACTATAATATTACAAATCTGATTTTATTGCAGTTTGCATAATTTTGTGACCTCTATGATTAATTTTTTATGATTAAATGATTGTAATTACAATCATGATTGCTAAAGCCAGCCAATTTATCATAAATTTGAGCTTAATGCAAATACAGATTTATAATAAATTGGCTGGCTTTAGTAATTGCGATCACAATCACAATCATTTAATTATAAAAAAATATCATAAAGGTCACAAAATTATACAAACCACAATAATCAATTGATCAACTAATCAATTAATTAATTAATTGATTACCAACTAATCAATTAATTGATTAACTAATTAATTAATTATTCATTTAACTAATTAATCAATTAGTTGTCTATATATTAGCCTATTTAAATTTATTAACTACTAAACTATTCAAAAGCACTTAAAAAAAGCTATTTAAGTAGTTAATTAGAAAAAATATATATTCAGTTAAGAATTTACTTATTTTATTCAAATTTTATTACAAATATAAAGTAAAATAAAATAATTATTGCTAATAAGAGTTCCAATTTGGTATAGTATCATTATATAGTAGCTACTCATTTTTTTAATATTTATTTTTTATAGGCTATTTGCCCAACATCACATGAGGTTAAAATATTTGGTTAATTGCAGTTGTTATGGTAATTTTTGTTAATAACTAAATTGTTATGAATGCATAATAAAAATATATAATATACTATATCAAATAGGTGCAAAGTAAAAATATTATATAAATAAATGAATGATTAATAATAGAATGAATAGTAATAGGAAAAAAGAAATAGTAAGTAATAGAAGAAAGAAAAAAAGTAGAAAGAAGATAGAAGTTAGATTTATGGATTAAAAGAACAATATAAAATTTGGTAGATATAATGATTATACTTTCTTTAAAGTCCAACAGTTATTAATTTTTAAAACACTTATATACATGACTTATATAATACTCAAAGCTAAAATTAGAAGTCTGATCCAATGAATACTATATTCGAATATTCACTGAATATTCGAATATTCGAATAAGATTTTTTTCACCAAATTAAATATTCGAATATTTAATTTATTCACCAAATAATTCATTGAATATTCATTAAATATATATATATATATATATATTTAAAAATTATCTAATTAACTAACTATAAATTTATTGATTAGTAGGTATAAAATTTTTT